TATATATATATATATATATATATATATATATATATATATATATATCTATATATATATATCACACAAGAAGTAGAGACCTGGTAATAGGCTCTTCATTAAATGTTTTTAATTATCCTCCTTTTCCTGGGATCGAACCTGATTACTTGGCATTTCCCCAGGCACTGTGACCCTCATGGGTTTAGCGCTAACAATCGTGCGCCTGGCGACAACGTTTGATACACTAACAATATACCGCATCGAGTCACTTTTAATGACAAACTCAACTAAAAAAATAAACATTTTATTTTGGAAAATATTTAGCTTATAATAATAGTGTTATAATTGAAATGATTAACAAACTCGGCAGTCGAAATGGGTAAATATTTTTTGGGGGGAGAGGGGAGGGGGAGGGGAGGGGAGGGTCAGTGAGAAAGGTGGAAAAGAGAAGAGATGGGAAGATAAGAAATAGGCGATCGACTAGGAGAAGAATAAATGAAAGAGGTGGAAAAGAGAAGAAAGTCGTGGAGAGAGAGAGAGAGAGAGAGGAGTCCCCGATGGTAGAAGTCGTCTTGAGTTTTGGTACGGGCGGCCATATTTCATCATGGGAAGTGGAGGGCAGGGGACGGTGTGCATTAGATTCTCAGCCATCATTCCTCAGTGAGGCTGGTCCAGTGACAGCCTCAGCGAGGTTGGTCCAGTGACAGCATCAGTGAGGCTGGTCCAGTGACATCAGCGAGGCTGGTCCAGTGACAGCATCAGTGAGGCTGGTCCAGTGACAGCATCAGTGAGGCTGGTCCAGTGACAGCATCAGCGAGGCTGGTCCAGTGACAGCATCAGTGAGGCTGGTCCAGTGACAGCATCAGTGAGGCTGGTCCAGTGACAACATCAGTGAGGCTGGTCCAGTGACAGCATCAACGAGGCTGGTCCAGTGACAGCATCAGTGAGGCTGGTCCAGTGACAGCATCAGCGAGGCTGGTCCAGTGACAGCATCAGCGAGGCTGGTCCAATGACAGCATCAGTGAGGCTGGTCCAGTGACAACATCAGTGAGGCTGGTCCAGTAACATCATCAGTGAGGCTGGCCCAGTAACATCATCAGTGAGGCTGGTCCAGTAACATCATCAGTGAGGCTGGTCCAGTGACAACATCAGTGAGGCTAGTCCAGTGACATCATCAGCGAGGCTGGTCCAGTGACAGCATCAGTGAGGCTGGTCCAGTGACATCAGTGAGGCTGGTCCAGTAACATCATCAGTGAGGCTGGTCCAGTGACAGCATCAGTGAGGCTGGTCCAGTAACATCATCAGTGAGGCTGGTCCAGTGACAGCATCAGTGAGGCTGGTCCAGTGACATCATTAGTGAGGCTGGTCCAGTGACAGCATCAGTGAGGCTGGTCCAGTGACAGCATCAGCGAGGCTGGTCCAGTGACAGCATCAGTGAGGCTGGTCCAGTGACATCATCAGTGAGGCTGGTCCAGTGACAGCATCAGTGAGGCTGGTCCAGTGACAGCATCAGTGAGGCTGGTCCAGTGACATCATCAGTGAGGCTGGTCCAGTGACATCATCAGTGAGGCTGGTCCAGTGACATCAGTGAGGCTGGTCCAATGACATCATCAGTGAGGCTAGTCCAGTTACATCAGTGAGGCTGGTCCAGTAACATCATCAGTGAGGCTGGTCCAGTGACAGCATCAGTGAGGCTGGTCCAGTAACATCATCAGTGAGGCTGGTCCAGTGACAACATCAGTGAGGCTGGTCCAGTGACATCTTCAGTGAGGCTGGTCCAGTGACAACATCAGCGAGGCTGGTCCAGTAACATCATCAGTGAGGCTGGTCCAGTGACAACATCAGTGAGGCTGGTCCAATGACATCATCAGTGAGGCTAGTCCAGTTACATCAGTGAGGCTGGTCCAGTAACATCATCAGTGAGGCTGGTCCAGTGACAACATCAGTGAGGCTGGTCCAGTGACAACATCAGTGAGGCTGGTCCAGTGACATCTTCAGTGAGGCTGGTCCAGTGACAACATCAGTGAGGCTGGTCCAGTAACATCATCAGTGAGGCTGGTCCAGTGACAACATCAGTGAGGCTGGTCCAGTGACAACATCAGTGAGGCTGGTCCAGTAACATCATCAGTGAGGCTGGTCCAGTGACAACATCAGTGAGGCTGGTCCAGTGACAACATCAGTGAGGCTGGTCCAGTGACATCTTCAGTGAGGCTGGTCCAGTGACATCTTCAGTGAGGCTGGTCCAGTGACAACATCAGCGAGGCTGGTCCAGTAACATCATCAGTGAGGCTGGTCCAGTGACATCTTCAGTGAGGCTGGTCCAGTGACAACATCAGCGAGGCTGGTCCAGTAACATCATCAGTGAGGCTGGTCCAGTAACATCATCAGTGAGGCTGGTCCAGTAACATCATCATCTTAACCAAACACTTCACCAAAACTCTGGTCATCAGCAGTTTATCTTCAGTATCCCTTGATAACACAAAAAATATTTCCTACTCCTTGCTTTGTGTTTATAAACTATTTGAATTATTATCATTGGTCAATATTGAATTCAGTTGCTCGGTTTATGTAAATTTTCCAATGTTAAGTGCTTCGTGCAATGGAATTAGCTATATTTTGTGCAAATAGGAGTAATTTTTTTTTTTTGTAAGTAAATTTTACCTAGCCTAGTCTAGAATTACACCTTCTCTATGCTAAGCTGGTTTATCTTAGGTTAGGTTTAGTTATCAAAAAGAAAATTAGTGTTTTTCCCATAGGTCTTAAATGTAAATCTCCCCATTGCTCTCCTTATTGTTGTAGAATTTACACAGTAAACTATATTTAAGCTGAATTTGAGTAATTAAACTCGATAGTGACATTATTAATGAGAATGCTTAACCTGTTTGGGGCATACATCTGGAAAATAGGAGGTAGTCAAGTTTGATTCAAGAAGTGGAGTGAAGCTCCTATTCTTTGGATCGAGAGCCCTTCACCGGCATCAAGGTGCCCATCCCCGTTCATTAATACCAACGCAGCCATGAATGACCCGTAACTACTTGATAGACTTTCTACCTAATTAACTGGATATTAAATGATATAAGTGATTACTTTACACATTGATTAATTTATCCTAGATGTGTGTTAACTTGTCTTAAAATCGAGGGATCAAGGAATAATTTATCCTAGATATTGAGTATTTACGTAGAATGTGACATTAAGTGCCCCTGACCAACTGGATACTATTGCCAGACTCACAACTGTGTTAAAAGAACAACAATACGAACAGCCAATCAAGGTAGTTAATATTAATTGGCTGTGTACTCCACTGATGGCACTTACAATGACGACGAACAATAGTATTAATGACGGAGTCACACGCCTGCCAATTTCCGTTTGAAAATATAAAATAACCTCGAAAAACAATGCCTCATAATTTTTTAACAGTATAAATGGAAAGTAAACACACACACATCAGTTTTTACTAATTTGTCAGGAATAAACCCAAAGAAAATATATTAATTTATGTTGTACATATACACAAAAAATGTAATCGGGTAGGGGTAGGCTATTTCAATAATTTTCCTAGTCTAAATAATAATGAACCCTTCGCATATATTCTAAGGAATATATTTATCTATCTACACACACACGGAGGCTCTGTGGTCTGACCTGCTACCTTCAATATCTGCAAACAGCAGGTATTTCCTCTTGGCTGTCCCCCAACTCCTTCTTTGGCTCACTCCTCGGCCTGTAGACCATTTGCATTGGTGTTGGTGTTGCCCTTCGCCTTGTTGCCCCTATTCTCGCCGAACACATGTGAATCTGCGGCAGTGAATCGGCAGACCGATTCGGGTACCATAGTCTTGTTTACCGTTGATCCGAGGGAAAGACTGCAAAGCATGAAGAGGTCAATAACATCATCAAGAGGAGCCTTGCAACAGCCGGATGTCCATCAATAAGGGAGCCACCATAACTATGCAGATCTGATGGCAACCAAAAGCATCCAGATGTAATTACCTTTCAAGCCCGAACGGACAAGCAGGTGGTGTGGGACTACACATTGGCTGATATCTATCCCAGTACAACAGGTAGGTAGGAGGGGCAGCTGCCAGATTCAGGAAGTCCGAAAAGTCTGGAAAATATCCGGTCTTAATGACCCTCGTGTCAATGATAGGCTTCAAACCTAAATACCTCAACCAACTAATGACCGTTGTTGGCGAAATACCTAATGAGCCTATTAGACAGAAAGGGACTGAACAACTGGAGAACCATTAAAAGTTTGCCTCTAGGCTGGCAGAGTGGTCAACAGCGCTGGCAGAGACGAGGTAAGAGGAATAATTCTTGATTCTGGTGACTTTTTTTGCACAAAGTTGAGTTTTATCAAAACATGAGCGAAAAGTCGTCAGAATATGGACTGGGAATGGGCGAGAGTTGCTTCGAAATATGAAGAAATGTGAGGCAAGACACATATGCAGTGTTAAGATGATACATTGAGGACTCGTTACACTTCGAGGTGCTGAAGTAGCTATTATGGAGGAACGTTTTATTTATCAAATATCCTAACACTGCGCACATGCAATATCTCACATTGACTTGTCATCCATACTATGTTTACCAATTTGGATTACAAAATTATTATAATCAAGGGGGAAGCGCAAAACCCGTAGGATTATACAGCGCCTTTGGGTGGAATGTGGAAGGAATTCAGGTTTAATTTAGGGAACTGGAGCACAGATCCAATTCCCTAGATCAAGAGCCCCTCACCAGCATCAAGGAACCTTCCTTGAGGGGTTGATCACAAAAGCCACAATCCCATGGCTGAAACACTTCAAAACTGACCTTACGAATTGAGATAACTCCTTAGGTGACGTTTCGGTCTTCCCCGACCTATTATCGGGTCACGGTGATGGTCCAGCACAGACCGAGACCTCATCTAAAGATTTGTCTCTTGATTTATGGGAGAGTTGCGAAGAAAAGACAATTTGCTGAGTCACTCCATGTATCGTGGGCTTTAGGATTATAAAATCAATCAACCACTTCGATGTAATACTTTTTTTTTCTAAGACGGATTTTTTCCCATCTACAATTAAAAAAAGTGAATTTTCTTCAATAAGAAATTGTAAAATCCTGACGGACGTCACTTGTCTTTTGTGTGAATTTTTACTTAGGCCTAAGCACATGAAAGACAATCTAATATATTAAATTTTTAATATTCATGTATCGAGCAAGAATTGCAACAATATTAATCATAAATTAGCGAATTTTTTGTTGTATGTCAGCATTCATGCTTGGTAGTAGTAGCAGCAATAATGGCTAATAATGAGTTTTCTCGTGATTTTAAGATTCAGTTCTTTGGCTAAAAGTATTTTTTTTATTTTTAAATGTTGAAAATGATTTCTTACAAAGAATTAGATAGGAAATATTTTTTTTTTATTCTCTCACTGTTGAACGTTAGGTGATGACGTCACGAGACTGATGGCGGCTGAGTTGGGGCTGATACAGTAAGTATTTTTCTGCATGTGTAGACGAATACGTTGATTATCATTGGCTGTGAGACAAAAAAAGTAACGGATAAACGCAGGTGCAGAGTAAGTGTGTACCGTGGCAACGTTTAATATCTTTATAAAGTCAGTTGACTCGGAGAGTTCATTCTGCCGGTGTTTTCTACTCGTCCTGCCTCGAGTGAGGCATCGTCAGTACTCGGCAACTGGCAGCACTTCTGGCAAGCGACTCAGGATATTTCTCGACTGGTACTGTCACTGCCGGCGAGCGTGGAGTGAGTCGTGGCAGAGACGACTCGGCGAAACATCTGGAGTCGTAACATGATACACCATATTGCAGTGAGCTGGCTAGCAGTCAGTGACATCATCTTTGTGCAGGCTGCTCACTGAAGTTATGACACGAGGCTGTCACACTATGAAACGAGGCTGACACAGCACCTGCCGACAGGGTCTAACTACGGCTTGATGAGTGTCATTACCCCGACAGTTGGAGTTACAGCAGAGGTTAGTCTAAGCATCCCCAGACTGGTCTACATATAACTGAGGGTCAGGAGGTGAAGTGAAACAATCTCGATGGGAATCTTAGCGGGTACGATTCTGCAGGGCATCACGAGCAGCGATAAACAGCTCTCTGTACAAGGGGCTCAGAGGCTCGTATGACGCCTGGACTGACTGATGTCAGGTGCCAATGCGCGGGTCACACCGGGTGAGAAGTAACACGAGGTGCTACATACTGGTCTGGGCTCAAGACCTTACAGGACACACGGAAAACTTGCACACACTTGTACTGCACATGTCGTACATGGCTTACAGGCAAATGCTTTTCTGTGCAGAAATCGACACTAAGCCATACACGAACATGTGAGAACACTGAAATTAACACACGATATATATCTTCTCTCAAACTTCTCGACAAAACTGAAATAATTACTAGGACACTCGATGTGACATGGGATGACATTGTGAGGTGATGTTATGGGGTGACATCGTGAGGTGACGTTAGGCAGACATCGTGAAGTCGGGCAGCATCGTGGGTGACGTAGTGAAGTCGGGCAGCATCGTGGGTGACGTAGTGAAGTCGGGCAGCATCGTGGGTGACGTAGTGAAGTCGGGCAGCATCGTGGGTGACGTAGTGAAGTCGGGCAGCATCGTGGGTGACGTAGTGAAGTCGGGCAGCATCGTGGGTGACGTAGTGAAGTCGGGCAGCATCGTGGGTGACGTAGTGAAGTCGGGCAGCATCGTGGGTGACGTAGTGAAGTCGGGCAGCATCGTGGGTGACGTAGTGAAGTCGGGCAGCATCGTGGGTGACAAGGTAACGTCAGTGGAGTGATGCAACAGCAGACCACATGTGGCTTGGGACGTCTGGCTTGGTAACCCACGTGGCTTGTAGATCCACGTGGCATCGTTCACACCCCACTTGGCTTCGAGTGGCCTCGGGCACTTGGATACACAACTCTGGCAAAGAATTCACAGAAACAGCAGAGGGAGTGAGAGAAACGGTGAGTGGTGTATGGTGTGGTGGCGTACAACAGGGCGAGGTGCGAGTGAGGCGACGAACGGCCGCTTCCTCCTCTCCCACCCACAAACGGGGAGAAACACTCACTGGACGCAGAAATAACCACAAAACTCACCTCTAACTTGCCAAAATAGCCGTGCCGAGCTGAAAAACAACAGCGGCAACATACAAGTGACGATGAACACGTGACTTGAGAAACAGCGTGGGACGTTGTGAAGTGCCAAGTGGCGCCACTTATATTTCTCGAAGAAATTCGACAAATTTCGGCTAGATCCTGCGTGTATCTGTGTCTGGATGCAGAAACGTGCAGACACGACATCAGGATAACCCGTTGAGAGACTGATGTTTCTTGTGTAGGGTGATGAAATTAAGACAACTTCATTCTTCTCTCTGGGCAAACATCCTTGCTGCGAGGCAGTCACCAATGTTTTCTACGTGTATTGGTGGTTTTCTTGGCAGCGGGGAGCAATGATAAGACTTCGGAGGCACTTTACTTTATTTGCAATGTCGTGGGGTACACAGTCAGTGTTAAGTGCCCATGGCCCGAGAGGGAGTAGGCCTTGCTGTCTGCACCGAGAGGGAGTAGGCCTTGCTGTCTCTATGATGCCTGGACGCTGAGTGAGTAAGCTGCCAGAGTGAAAGGCAAGTCTGGGCATATAGGTGGCAGCACGAGCAAGGCGCGTAATATGAACTCAGCTGGCAGACAGCATAAGCTGCCTATGCAGACAGCATAGACTGTCTATACCGGGGTTCGTTCCCCTTCCTTGGATCCAATCTCAATACCTACCAGTCCCCCAGGGGCTGTATGACCCTTACAGGTTTAGCGCTCTTCCGTAAATATAATAATACAAATCTCCCTCTGATCAAACCTGATTGCTTCACAGGCACAGTTGAAACCCTACGGATTTAGCGTTTCCACATGAATATTATACATGATTCTTAAGAACACAAGGAGTTAAAGCAACTTTTTTTGAGCTTTCAATTTTTTTTAAGGACGGATTCGTCCTCTAGACGGAAGGTTCATGAACACAACGACAGTGAAGATTTGTATTTAAGGTAATGAACTGGGCTTTTTAGGGACGAGGGTTGCTTTAAAGCTGCGTAAGGGCTCTTGTTCCAAGGGGTTTTAGCTGCTCTCACCCCAACTCCAACCTGATTCCTTCCTCCTTCCATTCTGCAGTTGCTGTATGAATGTTACGCTCTTAAGTAGGTTGTAATAAAAATTTAGTCCTAGTACTCTAATACCGACTATGTGCTCTTCATCTAAGGAATTAGAGCTACGGTACTCCCCCATTCCTTGGATTAAAGCTGATGACATTCCAGCTATATGACCCCCTACTATTTTAGCGCTTCCTCGTAACACAAAGTTACACATCCTCTGATGATTTTTACTTTAGTGAAATATCTAAGAATTGGTTAACTGGGCTGAAATGCTGTCGATGCAGAAGGAATCAGTAAGGCTGTAAGCAACCTGTTCACATCCCGTATAGAATATTTCAGTCCCTAATAGAGTAAACTCTAGCAATCTAGTGTATACATTCTGAAATATACATCCCTCAAATTATATTTGCACTCGCTCTTAATGTTTACACGTTTACAGAGATATACGCATTAGAATATATATATATATATATATATATATATATATATATATATATATATATATATATATATATATATATATATATATATATATATATATGTATATATATATATATATATTATATATATATATATATATAATATATATATATATATATATATATATATATATATATATATATATATACTAGTATTAATGAAATCATGAAACAAGTGATTTTGAATCATTAACAGAACTGCGGCTAGCCAGGATTCGATTCTGTTAATATGCTCTTCGGCTTTCAGTACTACCAACCAGGCCTCCTAGTTCATAGATTGACCAGTCAAATTTTTGATGCTAGTAGCAAGCTGCCCAACGTAGGCACCACAGCCTAGCTGATGGGTAGTCATGGCCAAATACTATTTCCCACGTGGTATGAAATGTAGTCACATTACATGTAGGCCAAAGCTGGTTTCAAAACTTAAATGTGAGCATTAATTACAATAGCTGTGAAACAAAAACATATATGCAGTATAATAATTGTTGATGTAATAAATGGGATGAAAGGGCGGCAGCGATTAGCAATACACTTCAAAAGCGATCGTATTTACCATTCCAAGACTCTACTCGGTAATGGGGTGGAGATTCTACCATCACCTCTATGATATGATCGTTTTTATGGGAAGGCCCGGTAAGCCAGAGGAAAGACTTCGTCAAACGACCAAAAGCTCACCTGGAGTTATGTGATTTCAGACTCGTATCAAGATGAGTTTTCATATTTCGCCAGGCAAATAAAATATATACCACCACCACTATCTGAATTTTCTACTTTCTTTTGTCTTTGTAGATTGTCTTTTCCAAATGGTGACCCGGCCTTGGCTCCCTGTTGTGGGAGTGTCTGAGACCTATATCTGTCATGGGAGGAGGTATAGGTACCTCCTCATCATCAATTTTCTATTGTGTGTGGTTCTCTCATATTTTCCAAGTCATCCAATTCTAATTTAAGCCGTTTTTCCGTTTTCTGTTTTAAAATGCTTTCACTGTGAAGGTTATTAGCGCAGTTTAATCTGTCGGTCTTTCGACTATATAATGGCCTAACCACTTCACGTCGTGACTAGAGCAGTTAATATTTACCCCACACTATTGTATCCACAAATGACGCATTATTCGCCTTTAATTACACCGCGACCAAATATATTTACATAAAACACTGCTCAAACTCTTCCTTTCTTCTTCCCCACACGAAGTGGAGGGTCTCTGGAGGCACCTATTCACCAGTTCATACTAACTTTTTTTATATTCTTTATTTTCGATTTTATTAGTCTTCATATTATTTACCTTTTCTTAACTTTAATTGATATTCTAAAGTTAAATATTGTATTCTTTATCTAAATGTAATTCTTTAAATAAATGTTGAATATTTTAGCAACATTCTTAGGATTTTATTGCATTTGATTCATTATAAGACTATAATTTTGAAAGGGTTGGACCGGTAAGCCAGCGGAAGGCCTCGGTCAGGTAACCAAAATCTCCAATGGCGGGTCATCATCTAAGACCTGCGTCAGGCAACACTTGTCCTGTTTCCTGACGAACCTTATCTAACCTAACGTAGCCTTGCAAACCTAACAACCAACCAAATTGTCAAAACATGGTTATGACTATGACTATAATTTTGAAAGAGGTGGACCGGTAAGCCAGCGGAAGGCTTCGGTCAGATGACCAAAAGCTCCAACGGTGTATCATCTGACTAAGACCCGTGTCAGGAAATACTTGCCCGGTTTCCTGACAAACCTTACCTAACCCAGCCTTGTCATATCCTCGTGAAGGACTCATCTACCCGTCCAACCACGCCCACTCATCTACCAGTCAACCACACCCACTCATCTATCCGTCCAACCACGC